TGAATATGCCTCACTAGATGATTTACGGGGTGACAAAGTCACCACCAGATTATATGATGCAATCTAGTGACTTGGCCAACTTGATACATAGCCGAGGCACATTGTCACTAGATTATCATCATGAAGTCTCCACCGGTTCATACAGTACACACCACCAACAGAATCAAGGAAAGACCTCATAGGATGATCCGCTTGGGTGTCATGAAGTCACCACTGGATCATACGTCACATACGAGTGAGTTTGGCACTTGACACATCGCCAAGGGTGGGCCTCACAAGATGATCCACCGGGGTGTCATGAAGTCACCACCAGATCATACAGTGATCGCTTAGTTACCAAGGCCAAATTTGAAACTGACTATGCATAGTGCCACATGATGATCCACTGGGTAAGTGTATACCAATCATCCGGTGCACTCTCCACTACATATTTTGAGCTCATTTTAAGTCCATAATCTCACTCAATTCAACTTCTTTAAGATCCTTGGCTTAAAACATATCTAGTGGGGACACTTAGGTTCTTACTTGGTGAGAATGCATGCACATCCAAATGCTCTCAACTCGAGCTCCCATCAACTTGCGTGTCTTGGAGGCCCATTATAGTACCACCAAAGGAAAAAAAGCCCTATATAGTCTATGTCAAGTGCCTCCGAGCACCAAGCTTGCGCTTGACTCTATAGAGTTCTTAGCCTTTACAAATATCCTTTGCTTCATACTTGTCATCCATTCAAAGCATCCTCGATGATGAGGAAACCATGTGGCCAGAAGTGATTAGCTCAATGTGAATGTATTCCTTGCAAAATACAGGTTAGTCACTAGCACTTGTATTCATCAATCAGAAAAACCCCAAATTTGAAAATGGGGCTGGATCTATTCAACCTTGTAAATTATGAGGCCGAGAAATTCTACAAGATATAATCAATCAAGTGATGTTATATATAAGAACATAATCTTTATATTGATCACTATAGATATATATAGGTGACTTCATGCTATCTCTTCTATCTAAAGGCTGCTGACGTTCTTGACTTGTCTCATATCATATATACCTCAAATTTTAGTCAATGTTTCACCATAAAACCCTAAAGAATGGGTGAAAGTACTTATCATAAGCAATCTAAAGTTTTACATCATATAAGTAATAAAGTTTAATATCACAAACATTGATATTATGTACAACTTTACAATCACATCACTCAAAGATGATCCTTTATACGCAAAACATGGGACCACCAAAATTGCTACAAATGAATTATGTACACCCACCCACATGCTTTGGCTTACATAAAGTCATTGAAGTTGTAACATATAATCTTGGGGGGGGGGTTTGATGGTAAATGCTCTTTTCTTTTAATAAAGAGTATACTTCCCATACATTTCTCTTTACAAATATGGTGTCCCATTATAAAAGGAAAAGAAGTAATGTATAGTTGTTTCTTTTGAATAGTTTAGCTTTGAATATAGTTTTTATCAATGCATTCTTCCATCCATCCGTAGCCAACCTCATCTTTAGACTAAATCTATAACTTTTCAATACATTCTTTAGGACATTCATAACCGTCCTCAACTTTAGGCTAAGGTATAACTTTTTAATACATTCTTTAAGTCATTTGTAATTGTCCTCATCTTTAGGCTAAATGTATAACTTTTCAATACACTCTTTAAGCCATTTGTAACCATCCTCATCTTTTGGCTAAGTGCTATTGATGTGTGGTCTAACTAGTTAGCAACAATTATTAACATCGTAAGGCTCGCTATCTTGTGCTATTGATGTGTGGTCTAAATAGTTTGTAGTTATATGTTATAATTTAGGTGACAAAAGATTACCCTCTTAAGATGTCATATATTACTACTATAAACTTGAGTTTGATATTAAGTAGCATAAATGTAGGATTGTTATGAGATTTCTAAATCTTGACTAAGGGAAATAATATTAAACTTTGTAGAAGGTAACCTCAATAATTCAACAAAATTTTAACAAGCATGGGACAAAAATATACTTTGGGAGTCTACTTCAAATACACATAAACACAAAACTAACTAGTTTTACAACACTTGATATGGATCGACAAGCCTAACTACTTGTTGTGATTTATTCATCTCCTTAACATGATTTTTTAAGAGAGAGACACCATAATACATGTTCAATCTAGTGGTGATATTTATGATAAAGGCATTGCAATTAATCATGGTAGGTATATTTATTTGCAAATTCCATCATGTCTCTTCCATTAAAAGATCATAAAACTTAAATCATGTCTATCGCTAAAAGACTCCTTTATTTTAACAACCAAGCGACAATGTATTTCGATACCACCTAACTTTAAATGCTTGTGTATCCTAATTCCAAAATGTGATTGCCTTTACGAGCTTTACAATACTAACTATATCGAAAACATGATCGGCATTACATCATTGACCGTATCCAAAATGCGACCAACTCATGGTTGGATGCCGTGGTTTTATTGATGTGTCCAACAAATTCTTAGAAATCCAACAAACCAAGTGGCGTCATCAATGGTATAAGCAATGTCCTACTAATCACTCTAGGTATATTTCTTCGACAAATAATCTCTTTTATCATATCTATTTTTATTAACAAAAAGTTGCCAAAAAACTAGACTTATGTGATATCGAACACCACTCGGTCACGTGAGCGGCTCTACAAGCTTTATAGCATTAACTATATCGAAAGCGTGACCGCCTTTATAGGCTTTACAACGTTGGCGGTATCCAAAACATGGCCAGCTCATCAACCATATACCGACATCCATGGTTAGCCGCCGTGGTTTTGTTAATCTACCCTATAAATTTCTAGAAATCCGACCAAACAAGCGGCGGCATCAATGGTATAAGCAACCGTCCTATTAATCACTATAGGTATATTTATTTGGCAAATAATCTCTTCATCATATCTCTTTTATAAAAAAAATCACCGAAAAACTAGACTCATGTGATATCAACACCACCAAAACGTGACCGGCTCTATGAGCTTTGTAGCATTGACTATATCGAAAATGTGACTGGCTTTATAGCATTAGCTGTATCCAAAACGTGACTAGCTCACTGACCATAGACCAACATTCATGGTTGGCTGCCCTTGTTTTATTAATCTGTCCTATACATTCTTAGAAATCCGACCAAATAAGCGATTGGCCGCCGTGGTTTTATTAACCTGCCCTATAAATTCTTAGAAATCCAACCAAACAAGCGGCTGGCCACCGTGGTTTTATTAATCTGTCCTATAAATTCTTAGAAATCCAATCAAACAAGCGGCGGCATCAGTGGTATAAGCAACCATCCTATTAATCACTCTAGGTATATTTATTCGGCAAATAATCTCTTTATCATATCTCTTTTATAAAAAAAATTCACCGAAAACTAGACTCATGTGATATCTAGCACCACCAAAACGTGACCGGCTCTATGAGCTTTATAGCATTTACTATATCGAAAACGTGACCGGCTTTATAGGCTTTATAGCATTGGTTGTACCCAAATCGTGACTGACTCATTGACCATAGACCAACATTCATGGTTGGCCGTCGTGGTTTTATTAATCCGCCCTATAAATTCTTAGAAATCCAACCAAACAAGTGGCTGTCCGCCGTGATTTTATTAATCTGCCCTATAAATTCTTAGAAATCCGACCAAACAAGCAGCGGCATCAGTGGTCCTATTAATCACTCTAGGTATATTATTCAGCAAATTATCTGTACACCCTATCTCTTTTATCAAAAGTCATCGAAAAACTAGACTCATGTGAAATCAAACACCACCAAAATTAAAAGGATTAAGTCCACTTTTAGCCCCTCAACTATTATGTTGGTCTAATTTTAACCCTCAACTACAAAACCGTCTAGTACCGATACCCCAATTGTCAAAACCATTCACTTTTAACACCTGGACGGAGACAAGGCTGTTTTGATCCATCGTTGAGCGGTTTTGACATGTGGGGCCCACGCGTCACCCACTCATTCCCTCCCTCTCCTTCCTCCACCTCAGCAAAGTTCATTCCCGTGGAGGCGAGCCCGTGCGCCATCTAGCTGCTGAACTGCGCGCGCGCCATGGGCAACCACAAGAAGCTGCGCGGCGCCACAGAGGACGCGACGACCAAGCAGCGGACGAGGCTCGTCGGCTCGCTCGTCAAGGAGGACGGCGGACACGTCTACTCGCTGGCAGCGGCGGGGGACCTGCTGTACACGGGCACGGACTCGCGGAACGTGCGCGTGTGGCGGGACCGCCGCGAGCTGGGCGGGTTCTGCTCCGGCAGCGGCTTGGTTAAGGCCATCGTGGTGACCGCCGACGGCCGCATCTACACGGGTCCCGCCGTGCACCCCGATGGCTCTGCTTTTCCCGGGCACGCCGGGCGAGGAGGGGCGTCTGCTCCGCCGCCGCCGCAGGCTTCCTGGTCCTGGGAACCGGTTTCGGGGTCCTCGGGGGCTCCCGATTCGCAGCGCCGGCAGCCGTGACGATGTCCCGCGCGAACTGGCTGGCCTGCACGATCTCTAGCACGGTCTCACCGAGCAACATCGCCGTTGGTGAAGGTCTCTTGGATCACCGGGTGGCAGAGAAGCTACGGCTGGCCGGCATAGAAAAATGGAGGCGCCGCGCCGGCCTGCCGCGTGCAGAGCTGCAGAAGAATCTTTCTTCTTCGATTCGAAATGCCTGCCAATGGACGAGAGCGAACACTCTGAACTCTGAATTTCTGAAGCCAGAGATAGACTTTTTGGACGGACGGGAGGTGGAGAAAACAAAGAGGAATCGTGGCATTTAAGGCACACGGCGCAGCGTCTGGGTGTGGCATGCATGATGGGCATGTGATCCCGCGCCGGGGTCCGCGCCCCGCCTCTCCCGTCGGCCGTCGGCCGTCGCCGCGCTCCTATTTAAGCACCGCCGCGATCACCGCCCTCTCCCTCACTCATCACCTCCCCACGTTGCATCGTCCAGCTCGCCCACCAACGTTAGTTGCCCCTGTGTATCCATTCTCAACTGACGACATGGCGCGCAAGGTCCTGTGCCGCCTGCTGGTGGCTGCCGTAGCAGCGTGCCTCGCCGCGACGGTCCGGGCGGGGTGGCTGAGGGGCTCGGCGACGTTCTACGGCGGGGCCAACGCCGCCGGCACAATGCGTGCGGGGAGTGCTACCAGGTGCAGTGCGACAAGCAGAACAGCAAGTGGTGCAAGCCGGGCGTGACGGTGACGGTCACCGCCACCAACCTGTGCCCGGCCGACTACTCCCAGCCCAGCCCGTCTGGGAGAAGATCGGCGTCTACAGCGGCGGCATCATCCCGGTCTTCTTCCAGAGGTACGTACCTGCTACTGCCTGGTGCTACGAGCTAGCTGCTCGTCGTCGCTTCGACTGATGACTGACATGGTACATGCATATTGCTGACTGCTGGCCCGCGCTGCAGGGTGTCGTGCTCCAGGAGCGGCGGCGTGCGGTTCACCATCAACGGCAACAGGTACTTCAAGCTGGTGCTCATCTTCAACGTGGCCGGGCCGGGGTCCATCAGCGCGGTGCAGATCAAGGGCTCATGCACGGGATGGATCACCATGTCCCGGAACTGGGGCGCCAACTGGCAGGCCAACAGCGACCTCAGCACCCAGAGCATCTCCTTCCGTGTCACCGCCACCAACGGCCAGTTCCTCGAGTTCTACAACGTCGCCGGCTCCAACTGGCAGCTGGGCCAGACCTTCACCAACGGCCAAAATTTCTACTAGCGCCGGCGCGCCGGGCGTGGCCGCGACTCTCTGCTCGTCGCACGATGATTTCCCCTTCATTTTTGCGAGCCGGCGTCGAGCCAGCCATGTGGATGCGGCAAACCGGGGCGGAAGAAAGCGCGAAGGAGTCGGATGCGGCGAGCCCCACGGACGACCTCGCCGGGCGGCCTGTCCTCTACCGCGAGCGACGGCGCGCGCGGGGCATCCACATGGCTGGATCAGACAGTTGAGTCGATGACGCGTGGGCCCCACATCATACAAAACTGCTCCATGTCAGCACAAACCGCCTCACCCGCGCCCAGGTGTTAAAAGTGAACGGTTTTCAAACTTGAGGTGCCTGGATCAGACGGTTTTGTAGTTTGGGGTCTAAATTAGACCAACATAATAGTTAAGGGACTAAAAATGGACTTAATCCAAATTAAAAAGGGCCGGATCATTTCCACCATAGAACCATTAGGAAGGGGGGAGGAGGTGCTTATCATGACTCATGTTCATGCCAAAGGCGCATTCACATGGTGAGGTTGCCGATTTAGGAAGGCAGCGCAGCCAGCCGGCAGCCACCGCTAGAGGCGGCGTCCCTCACAAAAAACCACTCCATCCCCCTACAAAGACAACGGCAAGCCAAAAAGAGAGCGGGACACCAACCCGGGCGCCAAAAGCCCCTCTCCAAAACCACGCCGCCCCGCCGCATTCCAGCAAACACCTCGCCGGCGGAGGAGGCGCCCCGGATGGTCCGACGTCCCTCCCGGCGGCTCCGGCGCGCCCCCGGGGTCCCCGGAGCGTCCCAGGAAGCGTCGCCCAGGCGCGCGACGCAGAGCTCGGCGTCGTCGGCGGCGGCGCAGGTGGACGTGGAAGGCGCGGTGGCGTGGTTGCGGCGCACGGCCGCGGGAGAGCTGTGGGCGGTGCGCGGGCGCAACCGTGGCATCGACGTCGACTTCGAGCCGCTGGGGGCGGTGATCCTGGCGGTGCGGCACGTGCGCTCCGAGCCCGACACGCCGTACTACAAGGTGACGCTCTTTCCAGGCCGACCCGCGGGGTTTTTCTCTCGATGCGTTCGAATTCTTGGGATTTGCGTGCACGAGGATCGCCGTCTTCGCGGCGCTCTTGTTTAGTTTTGTTCTAAAATGGATCAAATATTGCCGGTGTTTTCAGGTTTGCCGTAGTTCCCGTTCGGGAAAAAAAAGTTTCGTTAGGTGTCTTTCACTCGTCACCATTGCATGCCGCTGTATTCGTTAGGACACGGAATTATCAGGTGTTGTCTCTCCATGCGTCTCGCTTCCTGAAACCGTTGCTTCAGAGCGAGATTCTCGGCTGTCTGGATGGCAATTAGTGCGTCTGCATCTTTCATTTCTCGTGTCAGATTCTGTGTCCGAATCCGAATAGTAAACGTCATTATTAGTTGGACGGGCCAAGATTGTCTGTATCTTTCATTTCTCGTGCCTTTTATTCTTGTTAGTAATTCTGTTATTGTTTGATATGACTAATTCTGCCTTTTGAGCATGTTTAAGATGATCAAATGGAGAGTGGTGCTATTATTTTTTCACATTATTGTGATGGAATCATCTTGGTCATGGTTCCCATGTCAAGATTATATGTCACATTGATGGATAGTGGTTTTATTGGATGAAATTATTGACTGGAGTTGTGTGTTTGTGGAAGATATTGTTAAATTGTTGCCATCATCGTCAAGTTCTGCTGCTGCCTTGTCATTAACGTTTTTTCACTGTTACCTTGTTTCAGATTTCTGATGGTGTAGTTATTATTATTTTATTATTTCCTTGATTGAGATTTTTCTGATATTTGTGTCACATGATACGCCTAGCTAGTATATAGTTTTATTACCGCTCTCATTGTTGACGTTGCAATTTGTAAAAGGTCTACTGTGACTTCGTAGGAGGAATATTTTTGAATTACATTATTATTATGGTTAGATTTTCATTGATTATGTAGGAAAAGGATTCGGGCAAGGCGTTGTTTCTTTATGTTTTATTCTATCACTTATCATGTGTCCTCCGATGGTTATGTATGATAAACGAAGAAAGAATACAAGGAGCCATGACCTGCGCTGTCCGATGTTAGTCAAATCAGATGATTTAACAAATGACAAGTGCAAGTGCTTGTGTATCCCCCTTTCAGATGTTAGTTCATAATAATTTATTTTTTGTCATGCTTCAGGAAATAAGGTATCATAGCTGTAGATATGTGCTCCTGGTCATGCATGAGTAGATTGGTTCTTAGGTTTGCTAAATTGTCATATATCAAAGGGTCTCAATACCCCAGTTCTCCTGACTAGTAATAGTAAGTAGAAATGTGTGTGAAAATTGTTTGCCATAAGACTGAACATTTTTTGTGCCCATCTCTACTGTCAATGAAAAACATATATCGCTGATCCTGCTTCCAATGGCAGTCTTGATAAATATTTGTTGTTATTACTGTTTGGTGCCTTCCAATTTTTCATCTACCATTTTTAAGTTTTGTTCAACTCATTGTTAATTCAATTCTGCATGCTGACAGAAACAGAAAAGACATCACAAACAAGACACAAGGAGTTCTGTGTTAGCTAATCTACTGCCACCTTGTGTGAACACAGCAGAGGAAGACGGCGCCGACTTTGCCCCCCCATGCGATCTTGAGCAAATGCAGTGCAGGCGCCCAGACGGCTCACCTACAACCTTGTAGGCACATGCGATGGGCGGTGCAGTCACCCTCAGATGCTTATCTAGTTATCATTATTACTGACATGTGCGTTGTACTTTAGTTAGATAGGTAGAGTTGTATAAATAGGGCACCAAGGCAACTCAGTAAAGAGAGCTCAGATTTGCCATCACACAGACAGGGCCTCTGCCAACGTTGTTGTCTTTGTATTGTGCGTGCTTGCTCTGTTCTCCCTTCTTCTTCTAGCTCGATCCGTAGTGTGTGGGTACGGATAAAGCCGGTACGGTGGTCGGCACGGTTAGTGGTCTGGAGGCTGGAGACTAGTGGTCTGGGAGGCCAGGGGTCTGGAGACTAGTGGTCTGGGAGGCCAGGGGTCTGGAGACTAGTGGTCTGGAAGGCCAGGGCTGCGAGGTTAGTGGTCAGGAGGCTATCTGGTTCACTGTCGTCAGACGGTGATCCCGTAGGTGAACAAGTGGTATCAAAGCCTCGTACAAGCGACGTCGTCATTCTAACCGACGGCAATGACAGGCGGTTTGGAGTTGGGCGACGGCAGTGGCACTGTCATAGCTACCCAGCCACTACCGGAGGTAGTTGTCCGCACGGTGCGAGAGGTCAGCGGCACCACTTGGCCGACGCTGACTCGCACTAACTATGGAGAGTGGTCGGTGACCATGAAGGTCAAGCTCAGAGCCCGACGGCTCTGGAATGCTGTTGACAAGGGCACCGACGTGGAAGAAGACGACATGTCAGCGTTGGAGGCTATCCTCGCTGCTGTACCGGTGGAGTACAGGGAACCGTTGGGGACGAAAAGCCCAGCTAAGGAGGCGTAGGAGGCCATTGCGGCGATGCGTGTCGGTTCCAACCGCGTAAAGAAGGCAACGGCCCAGCTTCTGAAGCAGGAGTATGCAAACCTCAAGTTCAAGGATGGTGAAACAGTGGAGGACTTTTCCCTCCGCCTGCAGACGCTCATCAGCAAGCTGAAGAGCCACGGCGTCACCATCGACGAAGAGGAGGCGGTCTCCAAATTCCTCCACTCCGTGTCGGCAAAGTACATCCAGATCCTCTCTTCATAGAGACGATGCTGGACTTGTCCACCCTCACCATCGAGGATGTGGCAGGCCATCTGCGGGCGGTGGACGAACGCCTAGAGTAGGCGACAGCAACGAAGGACAGCGGGAAACTCCTGCTGACGGAAGAGGAGTGGGCTGCTCGGCGAAACTCCGGGAAGGCAGCCTCCTCCAGTCGCGGTGGCAACAACAAACATCACGGCAGGGCTTCTTCGAAGAAGAAGTAAATCGACTCCAACGCCTGTCGGTGTTGCGGGAAGATGGGCCATTGGGCACGGGAGTGCCCAAATCGCAAGAAGGAAAAGAAGGCTCAGGCTCACCTGGTGAAAGCCGATGATGAGGATGAGGCCACTATCCTTATGGCGACGTTCTGTGCACTGCACGATGTCAAGGCCATGGAGAGGGAAGAGGCGACAACGGTGGAAGGATCTAGCAAGGCCCTGAAGACAGTCAACCTCGACGAACCACGCGCCCAAGTCCATCTCGGGCGTGTGGGCGCCGACAAGGAGCAGCCGTGGTATCTGGACTCTGGTGCTAGTAACCACATGATGGGCTCCAAGGACTCCTTCTCCGAGCTCGACGGCGATGTTATCGGTACGGTGAAGTTTGGTGACGGCTCAAGGGTGGCTATCCAAGGACGCGGCACCATCATCTTCAGATGCCAGAATAGGGAGCACCGCGCGCTAACGAATGTATACTACATCCTGCAGCTGCGTTCCAACATCATCAGCATTGGTCAGCTGGATGAGCGCGGTAGCGAGGTTCTGATTATTACGGCGCTTACGAGGATCGAGAGACCGGAGCAATGGACTTCTCGCCAAGGTGAAGAGGTCCTCGAACCGGTTGTACCGCCGACCAAGGTAGAGCAGCCGGTTTTCTTTAGCGGCAAGGCACTCAGAGGAACCGTGGATGTGGCATGCCCGTTCGGACATCTCGGCCGGCCGCTTGGTGGTGGGAAAGATGGTCCAAGGGCTACCCCACATCAAACACGGAGGTGAGCTATGTGACAGCTGCCTGGCCGAGAAGCAGAGGAGGCTACCATTCCCAAAGGCGGCCAAGTATCGTGCGAAGGAAGCTCTCGAGCTAGTTCACGGTGACCTCTGTGGGCTGATCACGCCTGCTACATGTGGTGGACGGCGGTACTTCCTCCTACTCGTGGACGATTGCAGTCGCTACATGTGGCTGCAACTCCTAACGAGCAAGGACGAAGCGGCGGTGGCGATCAAGAAGTTCAAGATGCGCACGGAGGCTGAGAGCGGCAAGAAGCTCCGCGTACTGAGGACTGATCGGGGTGGTGAATTCACTTCGATGGAGTTTGCTACGTACTGGGTGGATCAGGGTGTGGGACAACATCACACCGCGCCGTACTCGCCACAATAGAATGGCGTGGTGGAGCGACGGAACCAGACAATGGTCGGCATGGCCCGATCCATGATGAAGGCCAAAGGGATGCCGGTAAAGTTCTGGGGAGAGGCGGTGACCACGGCGGTGTTCATCCTCAACCGCGCTCCAACCAAGGCCCTAACGAGCAAGACGTCGTTCGAAGCTTGGTACGGGAGCAAGCCGAACGTGTCATTCCTCCGGACATTCGGTTGCATCGGCCATGTCAGGAAGACAAAGCCGAACCTCACCAAGCTGGAGGACAGGAGCACACCCATGGTGTTCCTGGGCTACGCGGAGGGTACCAAGGCATACCGGCTCTATGACCAACGTGGAGACAAGGTGACTGTCTCGCGCGATGTTGTGTTCAACGAGGAGGCGGCTTGGGACTGGAACAGTCCGAGCACGGGGGAAGCAGGAGGCTTCCCCAACACCTTTGTCGTCGAGCACTTGGTCATCCATGGCAGTGGAGACGCTGCGGAACAGGTGCCACGCACTCCGGGAGGAGCGCCGAGCACTCCGGCGGTAGAGTCGAGCACTTCTAGGGCAGTGCCGAGCACTTCAGGAGGGATGCCGAGCACTCCGGGAGGAGTGTCGAGCACTTTTGGAGGGATGCCGAGCACGCCAGGAGTGGAGCAAGGAGGTTCTGTAGTGGTGGCGACCACTTCAGGACGGGTGCCGAGCACTCCCGTGGCGGAGCCAAGACATCTTACTGTGGTCCCAACCACTCCAAGACTGAGGCTAGGCACTCCTACAGTGTGGCCGAACACTGCAGGAGGTATGACGAGCAGTCCAGAAGCAGTGTTGAGCACTTCGGGTGCTATGCAGGGCACTCCGGCGGAAGAAGGAACTCCATCACCCCCGATTGAGTTCGCCTCACCTCCAAGTGACATCACTGAGTTCGTGGACGCCTACCACGAAGGTGAGGAGTTGAGGTTCCGTAGGCTGGACGACATTGTCGGCGGCACAGGTCCCTCAGGTCTGGCGGGTAGGCTGCTCAACGACGCAGAGTTGCTACTCGTCAGTGCAGAGGAACCACCCACATTCACGCTAGCCGAGCGCGATGGAAACTGGCGATGGGCGATGCTGGAGGAGATGAAGGTGATCGAGGAAAACGAGACTTGGCAGCTCGTCGATCCACCTCCAGGATATCATCCGATCAGCCTGAAGTGGGTGTACAAAGTCAAAAAGGACGAGCTCGGCGCCATTGTCAAGTACAAGGCGCGCCTCGTCGCCCGAGGCTTTGTCCAGCGCAAGGGCATCGACTTCGAGGAGGTGTTTGCGCCAGTAGCGCGCATGGAGTCGGTCTGTTTGCTACTTGCTTTGGCGGCAGCAAAGGACTGGCACGTCCATCACTTAGACGTTAAATCGGCCTTCCTCAACGGCGAGCTGGCGGAAACGGTCTTCGTCAGGCAACCTCCAGGGTTCGCTGTCAAGGGAGAGGAGCACAGGGTGCTCCGACTGCGCAAAGCGCTCTACGGGCTGCGGCAAGCCCCTCGAGCATGGAACGCCAAGCTTGACACCACGCTGGGCGAGCTTGGGTTTCAGAGGTGTGCAACCGAGCACGCGCTCTACACGCGACGACGGGGGAAGGAAGAGCTCGTGGTCGACGTGTATGTGGATGACTTAATCGTCACCGGCGCGCGCACGGAGGATATCAACAGCTTCAAGCGAGAGATGGCAGATCGTTTCTGAATAAGCGATCTCGGCACTCTCTTCTACTACCTCGGCATCGAGGTGAGACAGGGGAAGGAGGAACTCACGCTCGGGTAAAGCGCGTATGCCTTCAAGCTGTTGGAGATGAGCGGCATGGTGGAGTGCAAGCCAAGCGTAACTCCGATGGAGGAGCGGCTAAAGCTGACGAAGGACAGCACCGCGGCGAAAGTGGATGCAACACTCTACCGGAGCATCGTCGGCGGTCTGCGCTATCTAGTCCACATGAGGTCGGACATTATGTTCGCCGTGGGCTATGTCAGTCGCTTCATGGAAGATCACAGAGACGATCACTGGGCTGCGGTGAAACGGCTGCTACGCTACGTTAAGGGGACGGTGAATCATGGAATCATCTTCCCGAAGACCAGGGGAAGTAGGCTACGGCTCACGGCGTTCAGCGATGCAGACATGGCGGGGGACATCGACGGACGACGGAGCACCTCTGACATACTCGTCTTCCTCGGGTCAGCCCCAATTTCATGGTTGTCGCTAAAACAGAAGGTGGTAGCGCTATCTACGTGCGAGGCAGAGTACGTAGCGGCGGCCACAGCGGCGTGCCAAGTTGTGTGGCTACGCCGACTGCTGGGCGAGCTAACCGGCGTGGAAGCTCACCCACCAGCACTGATGGTGGACAACCAGCCCGCCATCGCCCTCGCGAAGAATCCGGTTCTGCACGACCAGAGTAAACACATCGACGTAAAGTTCCACTTCCTCAGGGACTGTATTGATGGAGGGTAGATTGTCATCGAGTTTGTCGAAACTGGTCGGCAACTCGCGGACGTCCTCACCAAGCCGCTCGGACGACTTCGACTCACGGAGCTGAAGGAGGTGATCGGCATGGAGGGGGTGCAAGGGTTAGCAGTAGGATTAGGGAAAGATTGTTAGCTAATCTACTGCCACCTTGTGTGAACACAGCAGAGGAAGGCGGCGCCGACTTTGCCCCCTGCTGTGATACTGTAGCCGCTGCAGGTGCAGGCGCCACACGGCTCACCTGCAGCACTGTAGGCACATGCAGTGGCCGGCGCAGAGTCAGCCATGTATGCTTATCTAGTTACTGTTACAGCATGTGCGCTGTACTTTAGTTAGATAGGTAGAGTTATATAAATAGGGCACCAAGGCAACTCAGTAAAGAGAGCTCAGATTTGCTATCACAGAGAAAGGGCATCGGCCAATGTTGTTGTCTTGTATTGTGCGTGCTTGCTCTGTTCTCCCTTCTTCTTCTAGCTCGATCCGTAGTGTGTGGGTACGGATAAAGCCGGTACGGTGGTCGGCACGGTTAGTGGTCTGGAGGCTAGAGACTAGTGGTCTGGGAGGCCAGGGGTCTGGAGACTAGTGGTCTGGAGGCTAGAGACTAGTGGTCTGAGAGGCCAGGGGTCTGGAGACTAGTGGTCTGGAAGGCCAGGGCTGTGAGGCTAGTGGTCGGGAGGCTATCTGGTTCACTATCGTCAGACGGTGATCCCGTAGGTGAACATTCTGGAAGGAGAGCTGGTGAACTGAGTCACTTATCTAGTTTTCTTGAATCAACGAGGAAACGTATTGGGATAGACCCTGTCACATGTCAAGCTGCTATCCAGCTGCTATCCCTGAGTATAGTGACCCATCTGAGGAATGTAAGGCTAACTACAGAAATGATAAAGATACCTTACAAAGGATGGGCACGGTGGTCAGGCTGCCACCCATTGTGGAGCCACCGAAGACAAGGAAATGTTCTCATCCTGGATCTGAGGCCTGCGTAGAAGTTCGTGTAAAAGAGGCCTGGAAGAGGGTCAAGTATCAATTGGGTGATCAGGCTTTCAGAAACTGCGGGTTCGGTGCAATGGGTGAGCGAGTTCTGAAGTTATGGACTGCAGAAGAGAAGAAAAAACTTGCTGATATTGAGAAGTTGATTCCTCAGAGTAAGAGTTCTGATGAAGACTTCATGAAGGTTGTCTTGGAGCAGTTTAGCTCAGAGAGAACAACAGATTTGGCTAAGTATTACTACAACGTTTTTCTTCCAAGAAGGTTGGCCAGCCTGAATAGAACAGAGGCTACAACCTCCATAGATGTGAATCCAGATGATGAAGGCAATAATCAAGATGATGACAACAAAGTGCATCGCTCTGAAGAGAAGAGTAAAGTCTCTGGATCGTCTTCCAAAAGGTAGTAATATCACTTATGCCTTGAAAACCATTTTACTTTGTGCAACATAGTTCTATCAATCATATGCTATCATTTTCACAGAATATTTTCTGACTAAAGAGCAAGTAATTTCTGTCATTTATTAGGGTGTATGTCAACCTTGTTCATTGGGTTTTCCATAATGATATTATTGCTGTGTTGCATCTGTAAATTTCCGAACAGAGACACTACCTGCACTATAATAATATCAGTGACCATTTTGGAAGCTGGTAAAGGTCCTTATTAGTAATATATATATTTTAATCAATTAAGGGTTTGTACGTCCCTGAAAAATGAAAAAGGGTTTATAACTACATGGAGGTTAGTTATTGCTTTCTACTTATATTGCTAAACCCGCATCAAATTACAATTTGATACTTCTAAAAGGGGATGAGTAATCCATTTTTTTCTATTGATCCCATCAAATGACTTTGAAAGTTTTGTGTATCCTGTCTGTGTACATATCGATTGGTTATGTGTGTGATTCTTATAGTGATTTTTCTTAGTCAATTGTGACAGTACTTATGTCTCTTCCACTTGCGAGTTGAACATGTCTTTTCTCCTTGCTAGTTTGCTAATTGCATTCAGCTTTCTTTGACAGGTCCCGGAAGTAGGAGAAATGCCATACATGCGGCTGACATTTTGCTGCGGAGGAATAGGAAGTAGGAAAAACCTGAAATACCTTAATTGCTTTGGACAATTGTCCATTCTTTTTTTCAAGTGGAGCTGGGGTAGTCTTCAAGGTTACATATCTCTGGCTATATGCAGTTGGAGTTGGAGTAGAAAAATATCACTTTTGCAGCGCTTGAAAGTGAATGGTTATTAGGTATCGAACTTAAATCAGCTACCAGTGAGTAGACACTGGAGTAAACATATGCTGATGAGTTAGTCTAACCTTTTTTTCTCCTCGAGAGAGCGTATATGTTCATGCATCGTGCCATTTTGTATGGACGCACATAATAGCAAATCGAGACAAAAAAACATGGTATAGAGATGCAGAGAGTTTACCAGATATGTTGGTCACCATTTATGGATTGTTATGACATACATCCTGGTAGCAAAATTTTGCTCAGGCGGTTTGATGGTTGTTGGAAAATCTCATATTTTTCTCTCTGCTCCTTGATGAGTTGCTTTCTTATAACTTGTCATGCCTATTGGCAGACTGTGGTATGCTGGCACAGAGATATCATTATGGAAAACTCACTGATGCCACTAGGTATCCAATACCCGTACCCATCCAATGACCCAATACACAAAAAACTCATACTTGCGGACATCTCAGAAAAGAGTAAATGCAAACGGTATATTCCACAAGTAACTTTCTATAGTAAATGGTTGAAATTGGTGTACCTGGTAACTATACTATACTATACTACGAGAGAGGCCTGGCAGGCAAGTAATTACTCCCTCGGTTTCAAATTATAAGGTGTTTTGTTTTTCTAGATATATTGCTTTTACTATGTATCTAGACATAATGTATATCTAAATGCATAGCAAAAACTATGTATCTAAAAAAGCCAAAACACCTTATAATTTGGAACGGAGGGAGTACTAATCAGTGTACTAATTAAAAGTGTTAGCAAGTAGAACTCAAAATAACAAGCAACATCTTAACAATTTGTAATTTCTTCTCTTGTAATCGCTAGACATTGAGCAACTCCAAGAAGCACTACAGTTCTGCTATACGCTATGATATTAATACCAGCGATAAAATAGAGTGCTACAATAGCTCATGCTACCCAACACAACATAATTAATCGGACAAAAGACCACCTCTCTTGCGCAAAACAGTGGCCACAAGTAGAAACATTCCATTATACAAAAATCAAGTGAATTCCATGTTCTGCAATACTTGCCCACTTCATAAACCACAATCAATTGAAATGATTTCATGCTTTTGAGCTAAACAACAATTCAAGCTGTCGTTAGCACCCATTTGTTTGATTAAAACTCACAAGATAAAGCTAGTTTGTTCAATAAGGAGAGGTACGACCATTGTATGACAGTACAAATTAGGACATTAGTTGAATGTCTTTCTGTGATCACAGGGAGGAAAAAATAGTAGAGAAATTCTTCTGTGACTAGTGACTACAGTACATCTGGGATGCAATAGTGATCTCCAAAATTGAATATTAAGTATGAAATTTCCAGACAATGGGGCCGTTCGGCTGGTCCAAACTTCAGCCGGATTTCACTGTTGCAGGCTGAAATCCACTGTTCATCCTCTCACATATCCCTTCAGATTCCTCCAAATTCCTCCCAACGAACAGGGCCAATAGAGAGAAATATCTTGAAATTGAATTGCCTTAGTAAATAAAGGGCCATTTAACTTCGACTAGAAGACAACTGCAATCGGTTGAACTCGATCAATGACACATAAAGGATTGTACAACAATTGGCTTCAGACCCAGTTACCAGATTATCAATGTGGGTGACAGTATATATTCAACGTAACCACTGGATGCTCAACAGTAAAAAAGTCATTTCAGTAGATATGGGCATCCTAGAAAACGTCAAGAAAATTTTACTTTTAAATGGCTAGACAAACTGTCCATTTCATTCAAAACAATGGCAGACCTCATGATAGAGAAGTCATTTACAGGTGCATGTTTGTAGAAGCAAATAAAAGTGTGCTTTGCCTAAAAAAAAGTGTAATTCAGAAAAAAGGATCGGCATGTAGATGTCAATTAATATCCTGTAAACCATGCGGGAGGTGGTGTCCACAAACCACAGTGGACTTATATGTCTGCCTCATGCTCCAGTATAAACCATTTGTTTACACCCTCAGAACTCTTTGTTTTCCTTTCTTTGCTAAATCCGTGTCTTAATCTATCTCTCTAATCCTGATTCTAGAGTTTTTGATGCACTGCATTACAGGATCTCATATAGTTTGAAATTTTTGGCTATTCCTGACTGGGCCTGGTGTCCTACAGCTCTTGTAAATTATAGAAGCATCCACCAACAATCACTGCCTTTCTTCTCCTCTTTGTCTGTGGACACATACATAGGCTTTGCAAATCTGTCAAGTGTGTTGACAAGAAGATTGGACAGATCAGCCTCACCAGTGAAAGTGAAATCATCTTCCTTGATAGCCTCCTCATCTGCAACTGCTGCCTTGTCAGAAGCATCTGCTGCATTGGGCTTGGACACAACGCCAAGGATTGGTGAATCCTCCAGTTTTGGCAGGGAAGCAAACTGGCGAACATTACTGATTTGCTCTCGTTCTTCTGTGGTTTATGGCAAAGATGCATTAAGATACACAATTAATTGATAGAAAGGTTCAGAAAATCACAAAGTTGGGAGAGATAAAAAAAAGCAAAGATCAAATCGACTGTGTGACCGGTGAGGCATCTCACCTTCATTGGACTTTGTTGGCCCTTCCTCCACCACCTCACCCACTTGCTCTTCCTTAGGATCATCACTTACTGTAGGCTTGTTGACTGCATCAGAAGAATCAGCTGCACATTCAGAAACAATAATCATCAGTGTCCCCACGAAATCTACAATTCGATATCAGTAAACGAAGGAATACAAAAACCAGCATTCAAGCAATAACAAAAATACACGAGTTAATCAGGAAAAGCGAGAACTTGACCTCACCTTTCTGACCCTTCCGTGCTGCCACCCTCACCTTGGATCTTGCTGACCTCCTCCTTCTCTTTGCCGTGGCCACTTCTTCTGCCTCCACAGCTGCCATAGCCTCTGGTGCCACTGTCACCTGGCCTGGCTGCACCTCCTCCCGTGCCTTATACACTGTGGCCCTCCTTGTCTCATTCTTGCCTTCCTGTGGTTTTGCGGCCTCCTCCACCTTGGGAACAACTTCATCCGCTTTAGGGTCAACTTCAGGCCCTATGGTTGTGTCAGAAGAATCAGCTGCACATTCAGAAATTAGCAGATAGCTCATGAACAATACCAAGTCTACAATTTCAAATTACAACATACTACTAATAATTCAGCATCAAAATCAGAACTAAGCAATCAAAGTTAATCAGGGGAGGCGATAACTTGTCCAAACCTTTCTGCCCCTTCCGTGCTGCCGCTGCTACCTTGGATCTTGTGGACCTTCTCGTCCTTTTCTTCGTCGTGGCCACCTCTTCCGCCGTCCTCTGATCCTGCTGCAAATCCTCATGTGTCTTATATGGCGCGGCTCTCCTCGTCATGTTTTGACCTTCCTGTGGCTTTGTGACCTCTTCTTCCACCATAATGACTACTGCATGCTCTTCAGAATCACCGCAGCTCTTATCTGAAACTAATGCAGACGCAATGGCCGCACCGGAAGAATCAGCTGCATATTCAGAAAATTAGTTTTTTTTTTAATAAAAAAAAAACTGGAGGGGCCGAAGCCCCTACAGTATTCAGAAAATTAGTTTTAGGGACTGTTGACCAACATAGCCAAATTAACCTTTCACAAAGTATGGTAAACGAAGGACTCTTACTGGCAAATTACAGGAAATCAGAACGGAAATCAATCGATACAAGTTACACAGGGGAAGCGTGAACTTGTCCTAACCTTTGTGCTCCTTCCGGATTGCCGCTTGTACGTCCTCCTCTTTCTGATCCAACGCGATCTTCACCTTGGATCTCGCTGACCTTCTCGTCCTCATTCCTACGGCCACCTCTTCCGCATCCACAGCCTCCTCTGCCACCGTCCTATTGTTCCCCGGCAAGGCGTGTGGGGCCGGCACCACCTCCTCCTCCATCTTACGTGCCCCGGCCTTCCTTGTCTTCCCACGTGCACAGCCACCGCGAGGGAGCGGACACCCGAGCTCCTGCTCCTCTCTGATCGCCTCTGCTGCCTCCGGGGCCACCGCGGCTTTCCGTGCAGCAGTCCTCTGGCACCCCTGCATGGTTAGGTCTGGCACATCCTCTTCCGTATTACCCGCTGCGATCATCCTTGTTTTGGCCCGCGCATGGCTGCCGCGGGGGAGCAGAGACCCGTGCGTCTGCTCTTCCATGATAGTCACCTCCTTCATCGCCGACATCGGCGGCGCCGTCCTCCCGATCTCGTCGGTCCTGTCCACCTAATCACCACAGCAAACAACCTCCACGCGCATCAAATCGACCATCCCAGTTGCCCCCAAACGCATGGGAATAGATCCACAGAGATTCACCACGAACAAAGATTCACCACGAACAAAAGGAATAGAATTGGGGATGCTCACCGAGGGGAGGCACCGAAGCGCTTCCGCCATGGCCGCGTTGGACATGTTCGCGCGGATGCCATTGCTCTTGCAGAGTGCCTGCAGCTCTCGACGCGAGAGGGAGTCGAAATCCATGGCCGCCGCCGCCTCCTCTCTCGCGTTTCCCCTTTCCTTTAGTGCCTTCTCATCCGGGCTCCTCTCGATCCGCTGCTCGTTTGAATATTTGAACGTTAGAAGAGACGCTGCTCAGTGTGGGCCGGGCCCTCATGGTGGCGTTTGGTGTAACCTAACCTTCCGGGGCCGCTGCATGTGGGCCAACTCCAGGTCTCCAGCTTTGCCATCAGCGGGCCGGGGCAAACGGACGGCCGCGATGCGTGGGCAACTTCACATGGCAGTGGCACACCTGCACACATCTTCCCTGGTGATAGACGAAGAGAGTTGGTTGCATCGTGCCGCTAATAAAATAGCTAAATATTTAGATAATAACTACCTCATTAGATAGATCAAGTGGGATAATAACAGCTAATAGTTATCTTAGTAACATTTTTTAATTAGTTGTGTATCAAACATCCTTAGCTAACTATTAAAAAAAACTCGATCCGCGGTGGCTAGACAGCTCCGGGTATTCCGACTTAAGAAGAAGATCTTCTCATACAGTTCGAGAAAACCCCTGAACCATTGTCCCACCTATACACGGCGGCACCGCAGCTCCGTGAGATGAGCTAGGCATAGACCCGTACTTTGGATGTGGGGGCAGACGAGAGAGTTTTTTCTCCCTCTTTGATCACTACGGCCGAAGCCACGAATAAAGAATGAGCCTATTGGGACTCGAAGCCCGCTAACTATTAATAGGTAATGAAGTCAAACCGAGCCTATGTGGTGGCAAGCCAAGCGCGTCCTCAAGCAAAATCAATGGGCGTTCATGTAAGGTTGGCGACAGCAAATCAGCCATGGATGCAGGCGCCGGCGCCAGCGAGGGTGCCACCTCCGGCGGCGCCCTCGCCAAGACCTTCAAAGCGTGAGGCGTGACCGGCTGGCGTCGTCCCCAGACGGACGGCGCGACCTCCATCTCCATCGGACGGTCTAGATTGCTCATTGTACTACAATGATGAATGATCCATCTAACCATCTGAAAGTTCTGAATGTAGCTTCCAGCAATGTACGTATTCCTACATTCTTACATACGGAGTAGTTACATTACGATCGCGATTGAGGTGGCAAACTAAATTCTTTAGATATATGTAGAGAGCTAGTAACAAAAGTTCCTCATTCTTGTGTCCCCTTGTCGTTTCTTCACTAACAAAATTTGATTACGAGTGCGTTGAATTGGACCAGAAAAGTACGCACTTCTTTGTCATATCCGAAAACTTGATTGCAGTATACAAGAGAACAAAGTTTTACATACAATACAAATACATCGGCTGCATTAAAGATTTGTACTAATCTGACCAAGTCTGATTGCTACGTCCGTTCCAACCAAACCGTGACAGCGCAGGCAGCACGTTCTTCTTCTTCCTATTCCTACCTGATTAGCGTTTCATTTATTTTTTTTCATTTCAGACGTTCTTCCATTCCCTAAAAAATGGCATGGCTCACAACATTATTTCGTTCCAAAAGTGTTCATATGACAATTGTATAATTGTACTGGTACCTTGTCAAGAAACCATTGGTGCTCCGCTCTCAAGAAAATGGACCAGCAATAATGCGCAGGCCATCCTCGGCATGCGATGCGGGTCCCGTTGACCCAGCGGCCGGAAGGCGACAGCAACCACGCCCCGTTCCGCTGAATAGCGTCGAGTCGTCGCCCCATATCAACGCCCTCGCAGCGCCGGAGATGCAGCGCAGCCGGCACCAGATGAGAGCTGCCTCCACCGATGGCATCATGGCCAGCAACATCAAGGAGGCAGTCCAGCAGCAGCAGTAAAAGCGCCGAGCTTTCGGGCGCCAGCGCTCACAGCCACAGCCACCATGGCCGGGCGGCCTCCTCCCCTGGCCCCTACGGCTATGGCCGGCAGCTCTCGTCCTACAGCACCCGCTCCTCCCAGGTCAGCAGCAGCGGCTCCTTCAGTGCGGCGGCGCTGCGGGTCGCCGGCGCGTTCACCAGCTGCTTCGTGCCGCGGAGGCAGGTCACGACCGAGGAAGAGGAGGAGGAGAAGAAGAGCAGGCGCTCAGAGTGCCATGTCTCCATAGATTCAGGTATCGGTGCAGTCATGTTTCCTCTTTCCCCTCTTCTTCAGTGGCAGTAGGTTCATATCAATCCCGTGGAATCATATCATGGATGAAATGAAGCAAACTTCTCTGCTTAAAATTAGCACCAAGCAAGCATTAAACTTTCGAATTACGAAAAATCTGAGTGTGTGGAAGCTTGGCAAATTTCGAGTGCAGCAGGATCATGGCAAGAAGGCAGGGCTCTCACCATTGCTGACGTGTCCAAGGCAACATCAAACTTCAGTGAAAAGAACATGATAAGGCAGGGGCGCTCAAGCACCATGTACAGAGGGAAGCTCAAGGATGGGTCTCAGATCGCCGTCAAATGTGTCAGAAAGGTTGGAAACCGAAGATCATCCATGTTTTGGATTGCTCATAATCATAGAGCAGGTGAATTGCAATAATGTTACTAATTAGCTCTCCTCTTCTGTTGCCTGATTGCCTCAGTTGAACGGTCAGAATCTGACAGCTGAACTCTGGAGGGAACTTGAGACTCTTGAGAAGATTGAGCATAGGAATCTGGCGAGGCTCTTCGGATTCTTCGAGCGCGCAGCTGATAGTCTCGTCGTAGTCGAGTATGTCAGCAATGGTTCCTTGAGGGAACATTTGGATGGTATGCTGTGTTGCTATGGATCATATCAATATATCATCCTATTCATTGTGCTAGTTTTCATCATCACTCTTGCAGTAGCTAGTAGACCACTGTTTTAATATAAACTGTTCTGTTCTATACTTTTATCATAGAACCGGCATCCATAATCTTTGTTGCTTTTTCTTACCGCTGGATGCTGGAACTGTAATAATGAATGGTCGAGTGCATAATTCAAGTTCCTGTTTCTAAAAAAATCATAGAATCTGCATCGAACAAGTATTTGTCACTCTAGGAGGATACTGATCCATTTTGCGGTGCAAAAAATCCTGCAGAATCCTGTGGAAATGGTTTAGAATTCGTGCAACGGCTCAACATCGTGATCGACGTTGCTCAGGGTATCACCTACCTGCACGAGTACAAAGGTACGAAGCCGATTCAGCATATGTTCTTCAGATCAAATTGTGATGTGATTGTTGCAACGCATGGTGAGTTGCAGAGCATCCGGTCATCCATGGAGGCATCCGGTCGTCGGGCGTGCTGCTGACAGACGCGCTGACGGCAAAGGTGGCCGGCTTTGGGCTGGCCGGGACGGCGGCCTCGGGCTCGGGCTCAGGCTCGGATGCAACGCCGGCGAAGGGCGCCGCCGGGTACGTGGACCCGGAGTACCTGAGCACGTACCAGCTGACCGACAAGAGCGACGTGTACGCCTTCGGCGTCCTCCTCGTCGAGCTCGTCACCGGCCGGCCGCCCATCGAACGCAGCTGTGGCGGCGAGGCCCGGCTCACCACCAAATGGGTAAGAAAAGAAACAATCCGAGAATTGCATGTATGTATGTGCAGAGCTGCGATACTCACAGCCGTGCCGTGGCCGTGCCATGCAGGCGTTGCAGAGGTGCAGAGCAGGGGAAGCCGTGGTGGCCATGGACCCCAGGATGCGGCGGAGCCCGGCGTCGGTGGCCGCGGTGGAGAGGATGCTGGCGCTGGCAGCGCAGTGCGTCGCGACGGCCAGGGATGACCGACCGTCGATGCGGCGGTGCAGCGAGCTGCTGTGGGCCATCCGGAGAGACTACCACCGCCAGGAGGAACCGCGGTGCGCCACCGTCGCGGAGGAACGTAGCGACGAGTGGGTCGTCAGGTAGCTTTAGTTTGTAAAACCATTCAGAGGCTACAGTCGGGTGAGATGATGCGTGCTTTGGATTGATTGGTATGGAAGTGTAAATAGCCTGTAAGTGGTGTTTTTCTCTGAACTGCGTGGCAAATGGGGAAACTGATCATATAAAATTATGCTCTCACTATAGATTTCTCATGCGTTTGGAGTATGTGCATGCAAACAGTTTTACATGGTGCCAGGGAATATACATGAACTAAAGCTGCAGATTTTTAAATACAACTTCTGTGATTATTATCAAATAATCTAGTCATTGCAACCAATACATATATACACTCAGATGTCTTGCAGTCTCAAACATAAACAGTCTGTTCGCTTGCTCGTATACGATTGTGGATTATAAGCTGGAATAGTATTTTTCTCTCACACCAAACCAGCCAGCAGTAAATAATTCACGATCATTTACGATGAAACGAACAGGGCTAAAAGCTGTATTCCGGCAAAAATAGGACAACAGTACAGTACACTGTTATGATCTCACTTCACCATGGCTCAATTAACAACGAGTATGAGTGGATTGACACGGAGTAGCAATTACATCGAGCAATCTCTCGCCTCTCACGCCTTCGGCACAGCCGGCCAGTTCGTCCTTCTCCGTTGAACTTTTCCTACACGTCTCCTCCCCTTAACAGCTAGTGAGCGCACGAGATGGTCACGGCATCGTCATGGGCCGGCTTCCCACTCTGGGCGTTGATAACGTGTACTGGGCCTGATCTTCCGCCTGGGCCTGATCTCCCTTCTTCTTGATCAGCGGTGTTCCCGCCTTCCCCATTGTTGGTGTCTGCATCTTCTGGTACCGTGACATTCCTCCCATCTTGAGATCCGGCTTGCCCCCAAGCTGGTGCCGCCTGGTTTGACAGGTGTGGCATTGGACACTGCTGTCTGAACACGAGGTGTATGAGGAGCTGACCATTGTGGCTTGGAAGATCGAGCTCGAAAACCAGAATGCCCACTAGCACTGTGAGACTGTTGAAGATGAGTCTGACAGCATCTCTTCCTGCAAAAGGGCCAGAGAACAAGCAGCATCCATACTGGAAGGGCGATAAACTAGAACAACAGCACGAATTTCATCTTTCAAACCATCTACAAATCTACTAGTGATAACATGAGGGCTAAATCATGGGTCATGAGCCAAGATCTAATTAATGAGTTCATCAAATTTTTCATCATACTCAGCTACCGTAGTGGTCTGTTTGAGTCTAAAGAATTGGTGGTTAAGAGAGTTTTGCTGATCACGCTCAAAACGACTACAAATAGCTGTGCACATATTAGACCACGAGCAACGCTGCAAGATAGACTCTACAGATTGTGACCAGAAAGCAGCTGAGCCTACGAAATTCATCACGCCTATCTTCACGCACAAATGCTCAGGTACAGCATAAACATCAAAGTATGACTCACAACGCTTCTTCCATAATTTGGGACTCATGCCATCGAACTTAGGAAACTCTTGCTGAGGAATAGCTTGATTCAGAGCAAAAAATTATTGAGCAGTAAAATTTAGGGGAAACGTTGGAAGGGGTGGATTCGCACCTTTGACCGGGGTCGGCACGATGGTGGTGACCACCTCGGTGACTGGCCTAACGGCCCTGAAGCCGCCTCAGACGAGGTCGCAACCAGATGAGCAGCTGTCGGCTTCATGAGGTCGATGAGCTCGGTGTCGAAGACCTGCTTCGCCCAATCTGTCGCAGGCGGGTGCGAGATCAGGTGATCCACCTTGAGTCGTAGATCCGTCACAGATTTGTGGAGGTCATCCACCTTGGCATCGATCTGGGGCCGCCACACGCCCACATCCTGGAGCGTCGCGAGGTTGTCGTTCAAGGTGCGCTGGATGGACACGTTCTGCGTCTGGAGCTCCTTCATCATAGTGGTGAGGTTGCTCAACTGAATCTCCATATTGTTGATGCGTTTCTGATCACGGGTTTGGTACTGAGGGCAGAGAAGGTAGTCAGGAACTGACGCCAGGGTAATCGATGATGGAGAACCAAGGATTTGGTGGAGAAAGCCAGGGTTTGGTACTGAGGGCAGAGAAGGTAGTCAGGAACTGACCCCTTGGGGTGTGTTCGGCTGGCTCCGGCCGGGCTTGTTTTCCTCTCACGAATCAGCACGTCCTGCCGTGACCGCGGTGTATTTTTCAGTCCTGCCGACCAACTCAATGGCTCGGTGTGACCGCGCGGTGTTAACGCCGACCAACTCAACCTCGGTGTGGACCTATGGGACCTCACGAACACCACTCGAGGGCGATGAACAGAGATCGACTTGCCGTCGGGAATTACGAGTCCAGATCAAGGCGAGAACGACCAACAGCGACAGCGTACCTGAACGACGGCGAGGTGCCGCCGAGCCCATCGGATCGGTGACCTCCGATACCAATTGTTACGATCTCACTTCACCATGGCTCAATTAACGAGTATGAGTGGATTGACAGGGAGTAGTAATTACATCGAGCAATCGCTCGCCTCTCACGCCTCCGACATAGCCGGCCAGTTCGTCCTTCTCCGTTCAACTTTTCCTACACGTCCCCTCCTCCCCTTAACAGCTAGTGAGCGCACGAGATGGTCACGGCATCATCATGGGCCGGCTTCCCACTTTGGGCCTTGATAACTTGTACTGGGCCTGATCTGCCGCCTGGTACCATTCTCCCTTCTTCTTGATCAGCAGTGTTCCCGCCTTCCCCCTTGTTGGTGTCTGCATCTTCTGGTACCGTGACACACACATACTGAAATGCTGCTTAGATATGATTGTTCGGGTGAGCCAATATAATGCATACCAGTTAGAAAACGGCTCAAAGTGAGTACAAAATTCTTCTGCAGAACTAAATGGGTCTATTGTAAAACTAAATCTATAATCCTTGAACTGGTTAACTGTTGGGAGCAATACATTGCATGTTTTCTATGCAGATTAAAAAAACCCAGTATATTACAGTGTGAATAATAAGACATTTAAGTCATGGAGATGTTGGGAACTCTAACTTAATTGACTTTATCTGCTTCAATGCCCCCAGGCATTTCACCACGTGAAGCACTAGTCAACATTCTGTCAAAAAGTTGGGAATACTCTAAGTTGCTTTCTCAGCTTCAATGGGTCGCCGCAATTTCACCAGATGAGTCACTAGTCAATATTCCGTGAAAACGATGGCAGTGGTGCACCTTCTTGGGGGCGCAAGATGACGAGAACACCAAACATTCCAAGCATTGGCAGTAGCAGAAGCCATTTCAGCAGCTTATAGTAATGCATGTGGAAGGTGAGTGAGAACTCATCGGAGAAATACAGCCCATTTTTATCAACCATCTCCACGACCACAGTTCCAGTAGTTCTAACAGGAACAGTGGGAAGCATCATTCGTTGCTTCCCTGGTTGATGATACACACCACTGACCACAATGCGCCTATCTCCTTGATAATTCCCTGGAACAAGTAAAGTTACCTGAAATTGAACCATAAAACAAAGGTAGTTGAAGTTAGTGTACATATTTTAGCTCATTCCTCACGCGATACTTTAGGAGTAAGAGTATACCGTCACGTTATAAGGAGCTTGATTCCCATAGGGCACTCTGTACTTGTCAACGATTTCAAACTCTACCCAGAAATTCTTGCCCTCTTCATCACGGAAGGTCCTGGAACCATGCTTAACATAAATACCTTCACGGTTGTACTGATATGCAGCATTATTCCTTCCTTGGTTTGATGACCTCCATTCCTGCCATCAAATTAGAATGATAAGCTTGGTTGGGGAAAAAAAATATAGAATGAGAAATTCTCTCTATCATGCTAACCAAGTGTTTTACAAAGTTTAAACATCCAAAAATCAAAAGAATAAAAATCTTAAAGGAGAATGTGATTCTGAAGTTCAAACAAGGTTCAAGCATAGGTTGCAAGGGTTAACCGAGAGACCAATGCACTATCCGAGATGAGTCAAATAATGTAAAGTAAAATGAAGACCTACAGAAACAGATTGCCAACCTTAAGTGGATGGTGTGGTGACTGCGTGGAAAAGCAGAAGACGTTTCCATTCATAGTGGTAACAATAAGATCAAGGTCATCTCCACCATCCACATTGTCAGCCAAAACCATAGTGTACCTGCCAGTCAAAGCGCAACAATCAACCGACTTTATTGAAGTGCAGTACATAATCCCCAACAATGATATCAAACATCTAGCAAAGCAAAGAAGATATGGCATACGAGGTCTCTCCAATGTCGACAACATCAGCACAGCCACTTGATCCCTCGATCAGATATAAATAACCATCAAAGGATGTTGTAGCAAGAGTTAGCCCTTTTGCATTTTCTCCATGTTTACTCATGTCGAGCAGTAGAACAGGACTCATGATTCTTCCATGTGTTCTATATGGGAAAGGTTGGATTTTTGAGCCATCCTTTCCACTGAGAACATAGATGTTTCCTGACACAGTTGGGACCACAACATCAGTGTGGCCATCTCCATTGATATCACCAACAGTAGGTCTCTGTCATCATATGACAATAATCAGACTGCATTATAGAAATCGTAGCCAAGTATAATAACAAAACGAATATAAAGTAAATGAAATGGTGGGGTGAAAGCATATATGATATCTTCTTTTGGCCTGAAACTGAGTTATAATGTTCTCTGTCAGTCTCAAAATAGCGTTGAACCCATTTGGGGGGAGCTTCTGGCTTTTGGAGCTTCCTGGGGAAGCAAAAGCTCCCACAAACAGGGCCATAGCATAAGTTTAAGACGAAATGGGAGAATCAAGTAATCAATCTAAGCAAGATTTTGGATGTACGTATTGCTTTGAGCTAAACTAAGAATGCATCTTCAGCACATGCATCACTTGCAGTGTACAGATAATGACAAGACGTGTAGTGCCTTGCCATACAGATAAATAACGAGCTAACTAAGCAACAATCAATCAACATCTTATACAAAAGAAATATATGAAACTTGCCTGTGGAATCAGACTCTTTAGATGCACTTCCCAGATTTCTTC